TTTCTGAGAAACAACAAAACTACGGTGAAAATAACACGTGATAACTGATAACATTCCACCGCTAATTGTTTTGTCGGCATAATTTCACACTTGTTTCCTCAAAAATTCTTAATTAGTAATTTTTTATGGGCAAAATTTAAATGCAAGCGTACTATTTATTTTGTTAAAAAAAAAAAAAGAGGATTTTTTCAATAACTTTCTTTTTTTACGTGATTAACCTCATTTAAGATGACTGAAAGAACGTTGATTTCAGATTAAATTCTATGTTCTTTAAATGATTTGCAAGAAAGAGAAATGCCTTTATGCAAAATAAGTTGTTAATATACTTTGGACAATCTTAAAAACATTACCAATACCGTAAATTTAAAGTTAATAAATCCTAAATAAACTAAATAAAATGCAAATTAGAGTAAACTTGATATTCATGTGAGGAAATCAAACAAGCAATTACACAAACTAATTTGATTACTTGAATGCTAAAAACAACTTAAATCTATTAGGATCTCTATTGAAATTGAAATTTGTAAGTTAAGATAGACAATCACTACGAAACTAGAAAATTGAAATTTTAATTAGTTCTATGTAAGGCTAGCCATCATGTGTTGAAAATTTTGAAAGCTTTTTTTTATACAGTTCTTATACACTGTCATCTTGCTTCACCCACTAACTCTTATAAGATCTTGGATAATTTCTTGGAAAAAATAATGAGCACATAAGCAAATTACTAGGATCAGGTTAAGGCTATATTAAATCTTGTCACATATACAATTCTGTTGCTACCTTAACCACTTAACTACATTTCCTAAATTACAGGAATTTTTGTTCTTTTTTTTTTTTTTTAATTTAAACTACAACCTACCATATAATCTCTACCATTCCCCAAAATCAATTTTACATATTTGAATCTCAATAGTAAATCTAATGTGACCACACTTCATCCATTAAAATGTGATATCACTTAAAAAATTACAATTTATTGCGTAAACAACACCATATGCAAATTTAGGCAGTACTAAAGTTAATCAGATTTAAAAAATAAAATAAAACATTTTTTTTAGATCAATTTTTTGTTTTAATCTATGTCTTAAAGGTATCATTAGGAGCGCTATTATTGTCAAACTATTATTTTTAAGGTAAGAACAAAAATTTAATAGAATTAGTATTTATTAATTTAAATTTTATAATTTAAGATAAAAGTTAAAGATTTAAATTTTTTTATATTAAGTAACTAACTTTTTAATATATTAAAATAAAAAATTAAAAGTAATTTTTTTTTTTTCATTATGTGCGCTTGCCTGTTGTCTTTGAATGTCTATTTATTTATTGATTTATTTACATTCTCATCATAACCCATTGGTGTTCATTGCATTTCAACAAGACTACAAATGGATTGCATCCCTGACCAATAGTAAAACCTTATCAAGAGCAAACTACTAATTTAACTTATAATCTCTGACCTCTAACCATTACTACCATATAAAAAAAAAAAAAAAAAAATATTTAATTTATGATCCGCTCCACGCCACCCCACCCCCTCTACTGGGCCTTTGTATTTTCATTTTTGTTTGTAGGCAATTTTATGGGCCTAAAGTAAGATGGACATGGTGCCCCTTTGAAAATGGGTCTGCTTTGTTTAGTTAGGGAGAATTGTTCTCTCATCAAAAAATAGAGTAATTGGGATCCAAATTTAGAGTTCTTATAAATTTAGAAAAAAAGTAAAAATTGGAGCCTCTTGAACACTTAATGTGTGAAAATTTTTTATAAAATTATTTAAATATTTTTAATAAATTTTTTATATGTTAATTTATTAATAATATTTTATTTTATTATTATTATTCTTAATATTTTAATTGCTTGATAATTTTGATTTTCTTTAATCTCACAAATTTATTCAATAGTAGTTGTTTGAAGAATTTTCTTCTCTTTTTTTCCCCCTTTTTTAATAGAACGTGCTTTCAGCGTGAGAAAAGTTGAAGCAAAATTTAAGGTCTCAAAAAACCAATTTAGCTTGGTACTCCTGCCGTTCCACAATACATCAATCAAATTTTGGGTGGCAAAATGTCTGCCCATCCAAAGAGTCGAAAGCAGGTAATGATAACGATCTTGCTACATAAACTACATGTCTTTAAAGCTTATCTTGGATGTATCTCCGTAATTGAAACCTCATTCACTGAAGCTATCTGCGAAGATAACATGTTTGACTGAGTGGTATTGTATGTGAAAAATGAAGGATGTGAGGGCATTGAGAGTGTCACAGAGTTGCTGGTAAGCATTGAGACAATTGAACTCATAGTTGGTCTCCTTGCTACATTTCCTTGCACACAAAGTAACCCAATATGAATACATCTCATCATTTCAGCTCTTGAGCCCTCACTCAAACTAGGATCTACGATATTCAGTGGTGTCCCTTCATTCCAATTTCTCCAGGCCTATAAAGAAATAAAAAATCAAAGCTAATCTTTTAATATGATAATTTCACGTTCACCAATTCGCATATACTTACTTCACTTATAAGGTTTGCTAAATCCTCCCCACGCCAATTACAATTAATTCTTTGACCACTAATAATCTTCAAAATTAGTACACCAAAACTATAAACATTTGTTTTAACCGAGAGTTGTCCTTGATGAATATATTCTGGAGGCATATATCCACTATAATTTCACATTTACAAAAAAATGTGATCAAATCATTTCAAATAGTAATAGCAAAATAGCATGATGGGGTTATGATATCCACTTACTAGGTTCCCACAACTTTAGTTGTAGCATCTTGAGTTTGATCAACCATAAATAATTTTGTCATGCCAAAATTTGAAATTTTTGGATTCATATCTTTATCTAGCAAAACATTATTAGCTTTAAGGTCGCAATGAATAATTTGGAATCGAGAATCTTCATGAAGGTAAAGAACTCCTTTAGTAATGCCTCATATGATTTTGTAACGTGTTTCCCATTGTAATTGTGTGCACTTGATTGGATCTACAAAATAGTAGAGTCACATGCATAATATGATGATTTTACGTATGATTTCATAGTATATAATAATATGAAACTGGGTGAGACACTACTATTACCAAATAAGAAGTGATCAAGGCTCCAATTGGGCACAAACTCATAAATAAGAAGTCTTTCCTTTCCTTCCAAGCAAAAGCCAAGGAGGTTAACCAAATTCCTATGTTGTAGTCTAGCTACTAGCTGAATCTCATTTTTGAATTCTGTATCTCCTTGTCTTGAACCAATTGATAGCCTTTTAACAGCTATTTCTTGTCCATTAGCAAGAGTACCCTAAAATTATATCAAAGCACATAAATAATTAATTTAAGCCATGTTTCTTACATGAAATCCCTGTTCTCTTCCACATTATAATACTTAAATTAGTTATTGGTTGTGTTTACCTTATAAACTGCACCAAATCCACCTTGTCCGAGCTTGTTTTCATCGGAAAAGTTATTTGTGGCAGCTCTGATGGTGCTAAAATCATATTGTAGCGACTCTACACTTTCGATTTCATCTGCATCTTCAACATGCATAAGCGATTCAGTCATGTAGAACTGATACATAATTTAAAAAAAAAAAAAAAAAAAACTCGCTTAATTGGACTTAAACAAACTTACTTTCAAATCTCTTTGATTTCCTCACTCTGAGAAAGATGCAGATGCAAATGGAGATGAAAAGTATGGAACCGACAGTGGAAATGACTATGATGATAATAGTGGTGGTGCTAGTGGAATCATTTGAGGGTGGAGGAGATAGCAGCGGTGGTGGCGGCGGCATATCGGCGCTGGAAACATTATAGAAAAGAGTGTCATTATACCTAACACTACAACTAGGCCCAAATATTCTAGCTTCTCTCCGACCTCCACAGCATCTTGGAATTCTTTCAAAAGCCTGAAACAAGCAAGAGCTGCACTGAAGCTCTGACAAATCAGGAGTGCACTGTACAAGTGCGTAAATGGAGTCTGATGGAGGAGCCACTGTCATCCCCGTTGCAAACTTCCGAAGAGAACCACCCGCCGCTGCCCTGCCTCTCAGGCGTTCCAACAGAGTCGTCAGGGAATCATTGAAAGCGCTAACATCCGTGGCATTACTCCCTTCTCCCCACCGGAAAAAGCCATTATTGTCCCGAACGCCAAGGATGGAATTATTTGAGTACCGCAACATACAATTGTCATAATATTGAGCAGATTCCTTGGTGAGACAACTAGTTCTGAGCTCGGTGGCAGCACCATTGATACAACCTCGGCAAACATCAGGCATGACATCTCCTCTACATAGAGCAATTCACTTAACTTGGTCGGTGTTTTGGCCAACGGAAATATTGTAGAACCCATAGTCGTTCTCTGGGATAAATGTAAAGGAGGAGAGGAGATGATTGAGATTGGTATTGTAAGTGCTATTAGTGGTGAAATTGCCCCTGTCATATAAACAGGGATCTGCGAGCCAGCCACCTTGGTGGGCAGAGGAGAGGGTAAGCATCAGAGAAGTATAGAAAAAATGCAACAGAGGACGACCCAAAGTAACCATTGCTACTTTTCTTACCATATCATTTGTATAATTGTACAGACATTTTTATAGAGCTCAAAGATTTTGAAAAGTCTAATGTCGAAAGATCATCCGAAATTTCTTATGACTCAAAAGTCCATCTAATTTAATATTTTGGACCGGACCTCAATAACTTAAGTTATCCTCGTCTTCTTAATTTATACAGATCGTATGATGGAGTGTTTAATGCAGAATTAAGTACTAGGATTTAATGGGTTACCGGATCGGTACTCAAGTTGTTTTTATTGACTATAATTATGGTTGCCTAAAGTCAAGCCAAGGCAATTGCTTGATGATTACCTTACCAAAATTCCCTAGTACAAATTGTAACATAAGCCAAGTACATGTCAAGGACAAAATCCCCCCGGCCACATGGAGTGTTGTTGATACATGGTTTGGGTGCACCAGGGCCCAACGACGTTCATCTAGTAGTGAACCCATTAAGTCAAACAGGGCCGAAAGCTCCTCCTCCGTTACCACCATCTCCCCTGTTTCCTATGTCACCCGGTCCATCTTCCTACCAGCCACAATTGCAAGAAACCCAACAAGGTAAATAGACAGTGAAGAAGCCATGAGAGCAAAGAATTATTACAAGACAAGAAACGAAAGAAAGAGAAACATTGAAGTTCATACAATGGCATTGGAGCAAAAGGGAGAGAAAGTAAAAGAATGTTTGGCAGTCTAATGTAGGGTGCAGCTTGGAGATCATAGAGTTGTCCGTGTGGGTTTGCATCCCACATCAGAAAATGGTGTAAGACATAACCACCCTACTGTGCCGTTGGGAAGTGAACTTTTTGTAAGCCATTTCACTCGCCCAAAGCATCCTCTCTTGGAGCAGGGAAGAATAAGGAAGATGATACGGTGGCCCTTTGAAAATGGGTCTGCTTAGTCCGGTTGAATTGTTTTCTTATCTAATGTTGAATTGATTTGTATTTGAGGCCCATATTAAGGTTGTGATCTAAAACAAGTTCTATAATTGTTTGAAGACATTTTTTTTAGTCTTTTTAAAGAACGTGCCTTAATCAGCTTGAAGAAAAGTTGAAGTAAAATATAGACATGATATTTGATATTCTTGATTTTGTTGCTTGGAATAGTTGGAAAACATTTTTGAGCACCTGCGCCACCCGCGTGTGGAAAAAAATGAAAACATGTTAGGGCGAGCATTCGAGGTGTCTTCAGCGTGCACCCTCCGATACTTAGGTAAGGTCTGTTGAAGGTGAATGAAGGGAGGAAGAAGGCTATGAAAAAAGATGGACTCTAAAAGAATTACATTTTTTTTTTTT